CATTGTCCAAGTTCCTGTTGATGGATCATACAATTCAGTACTATTTACGCGATCACTATTCCCCCATCCACCAGTAACTAACACTTTTCCATTTGTTAATACAGATGCTGTGTGTTGATATCGTCCATTATTCATGCTACCAGTGCTAACCCATCCTAAAAGAACCATTTGAATATTTTTAGGCTGAAAAGCGAAGTATCATCAAATATGCAAGATTGTTTGTAGTTAAGTGAAGTGTTTTAAAACATTGAAAAAACGAAAATTGTTTCTCATTTTGACTGGAAAGACTTTTAACACTCTATCGACTAAAAGAAAGTTTCAACTTTGTTGCGTAAAATTCTTGATCCTGTGGTAGGCAGAAATGTGAAAATTTTCATTGTCTTTAACAGGCTTTTTATAGAGATGGTCTATGAAGATTTTTATTTTGAATCAGTTATTCTATCATTCATATGGATTAACCGATTTTTCGATCGTGTACAAACTCAAGCAGCTATAATTGAACAATAAAATGTGTATAAAAAAAAAAGGAGTTTCTCCTCGATTTCTTCATAGTTCCTTGATTCCAAATTCAAAAATGTGCATTATCCAACATATATGTCGGATTCACATCAAGATCAGAAGACTCCTTTGTAAAAATGAATTTATGATTGCAAAAATTACTTTGGACAATACATTAATCAAGCTATTAGAAATCATGGAACTCTGGTAGAATGTTTGGTTAATCTTCGATTCTTCAACAAATTATCTTAATGTCTGTAATAATTATTCAATAATTGAGGAATTTCTATTTCTGAGTTCTTCAATATTATTATCTGAGATATTTCTCTTTTAACGAAGCGCATTTAATCATATCTATCCGTGTCAATGATTTCAAACTTCGTAAAAAAGACTGTTTCACTGAAACCGATCGGAAAGATGCAGAAAAATCATCCATCCAACAGGAGAACATCGATGGAGTTTGGATACAGTATTCCTGGTCAAAAAGTTTCGGGACCTTTCTCATTGGAAAGAACAAGAAGTTACACGAAAGTCAGTGTAAAACTTCGGAGACTTTCTTCTCGCCAGGACCACTGTCTCTAAATTCCATTGATTTCAAATGTCTTCGTGCCGAGATCGGCTCACATTTCTTGACCTAAGTACTATAATAATTAAATGTTTTTGTTAGTGTGTTGATAATAGCTTACTAAAAATGAACCATCATTGCAAGAAAAACTCGAGAAATATTCCCAATGAAGAAGAAAATTGATTCAAGTATCAATCTAGTAACTGATATAACTATTAAAGTTAATTTGATAACGTCATGAATCTAGTTGAAAGAAAACAGGGTAACTGCTGGTTATATAAAGCATTGGTATGAATGTATTTCTCAAACTCACTCAAGTTGACAAATATTTTCTTTTAAGTTTCATTTTTGAATGATTCACATACCTTGCAAAATTTAATATCGACAATTGGCATCATCAACTCAATTACCTTCAATACAGTAGTAATTTAATATTCTTAAACGATAATGGCAGTAAATAATGTTAAAATCCCTATAGAAGGTGAAGTTCAACGAAAGAAATTTTACTTTAAATAGTCTTTTTTAATTAATCTTATTTGAATGAACAAAAGATTGATAACAGTTTAAAACGAGATATTCAATTGAATACTTCTACATGATTTTTTCTTAACCTGGATCGATCCATATGAATATCTTATGAAACTAGGTCTGATCATTCATCTTATGGTGTCAATCAATCTAAAAATTTCTTTTCAATACTATTGTTACTTGAAAAACTCATCTTACAACAATTTTGATTATAATCAAATTCAGTAAGGATATCATGAAGATAGTAGACAAAGTGATCTAGAAATATTACTTTTGAGATGAAGAAAACTAGATATTATCAATGATATGATTTAACATCTCTCAAGTTATTATTACTCAAATATATGAAGATTGTACCTAATTAAATTATCTCAAGTCAGAAACATGAATGCATCTAATGTAAACAATGTCTTTGTTCATGTTAAAAATACTGATTTCATCTACAATTTTGAATTATAAAGATGTGTGTAGGTTGAATGATGAAAAGTCTAAAAAAATGTTTTCTCAAATCTTGTTTTAATTAAACATACAACTGATTCCATAAAAGAAACAAGTCGTATGAATTACTCATTTTACTTTCACTGAAAACTTCATTAATAATTCTTTCTTGGAAAATAGAAAAATAAAGCTTTAAATTATAAAAGAATCAATGATTTTCGTACTAGTCGATTTATGTACAGTATCATATTAATCTCTTATTTTCTGATTATATCTAAAATTTCAATCTATTTCAATTATCCATCTCATTTTCATTCCATTTTAGTCTTTAATTTAATCCCTCAGAATTATATTTATCTATTTTTCATGTTATTGTCATTGTATGATAAGACTCATTGAATTATGACTTTGTAAAACCGAATAAAGTCTCAACTAGAATCTGGATAAAGTACTTTGATTGATTCTTATATACAGACATACTTAAGTAGAATGTGTGTTTACCTGATTTACAGAAATTCACAAATGACAATGGTAAACATACGGCTTGTGGTGAACAGCATGAGTTAATGATGCATACGGAAGTATTTTCTGCACAATTATAGGTAATATTGTTACATGGTTCCAAAATCGAACACAGAATACCAGGTGCACAATATCTACTATTATTGAGTGTGCGGTAGTCAAAACAAGGTGTCACTGATGAACGACAGTTGTCGTTGTTATTCGAGTTGACATTACATTGTTGTAAAGAACAATTTAATATTGGTTGCCATGCCGAATGAGGTAACAAAGACAAATTAAATTCGACAACAGCATTATTTTCATTACAATAGTAATTAGATCCTGGTGTAATTTGACCTAAATATTGTTGATATTATGAAAGAATCAAATTAGACGAAATAAATTAGCAAACCTTTTATACATGAGAAGAAAATGCCGAAAAATAAAGCTATTACAAATGGCATAGTTTCTGTGTAATGAATGAGCGAAAGAAGTATTCAAAATGAATTGTTTTTTTTTCTGCTTCTTGATAAAACACTTACTGAATTTGTCTTTCAAGTTAAAGAAAACAAAAATTTCTTTTTCAATGTTTATTCATTCTCTAGAAGTAAAAGAAATCAGAGATTGAAAAAATATTAACGAAAGTTTCTTATGAAGTAGCCTCACTATCAAACAGATTAAATTTTGTCGTTATTTTTTTTTCATATTTTCATCGAATGAATTGTATTTTTTGCTTTCTTCAACAAACTAAAATCATGAGATTTCTTCCATAAAAATGTGCTCTGTCATCAATATAAAATAACTAATTTCTTCGCAATAACAAAACGAAAATATTATTTGAAGTAGAATTTTTTTTTTACTTCGTAATTGTTTTTTTTAGACTTTATTTAACTTATAACAGAATTTTGATTATTTCGAAATTATTTTCAATGTAAAAATTCGATAAAACAAACAAGAAAATAATATAGATGAGAAAAATCAGTAAAATGGTCATAATTATCGAAGGAAGCTCTATCACCCCAAATTCTCATAGTATTTTTCTTAGAATAGTGTCCTGAACAGATCATTTCTACCTAGATTATTGATAACTCAACGATGATATAGTTATCACAATATCTTTAATGAGTTATTAACTATCACACTGTTATCATTCTTTGCCAATATTCATTGGTGCAAGTTTCAACTCCTGTACAATTCTAATATTTAGAACTCTTTCAAAGAAAAGCAAAACAAAATACTAAAGAAAATCATTATTCTTTCCTTTCGGTACACGAGAGAAAATCAGCTCTTTTTCTGTACTCTCAAACGACATACCAGAAAAGAACATAAAAGAAGTAGTTTTCAAGAGAAATCACAATGAAAAAGAAAATCTATTACTCGTGCTTTTTTTTTAATATACAATTAGATAGAATGTCTATAGCTTTGAATGAAAAGTATATAATCATTATGATCAATATAACTTAGTATTTTAAGAGTAATTGACAACTTATAAAAAATCAAAATATTTAGACTAGTTAGTCTATAGTAGAAATCTTAGATTCATAACATAATTTGGAAGATTCTAGAAAGTTCCAGAATAATCCAAGTACTACAATTATTGATATATCTTTCCTTGTTGCAAGGAAAGCATAACCAATAGTCGCTATCTCTCTCGCATTTCGGTTACTAGAGCCTAGGGGAAAAGTCGCTAAAACCTCGATTTGAACTTTCTCTATTCCTCGAAAATATATGAGTTTTACAAAAGAAAACAACATATGTATGAAGGAAAGCTTTTGCTTTCTTGACGAAAAAGAGTTTTTTTATTCGATAAAAACTCATCAACAATTTAATTTTCATTATTCGATGATGAATGTTTCATTTCTAGTTCCGCTAATGAGAGAAGTTCATTGACTTCTTTGAATTCTTTTTTTTAATGAATCTTGTTCCATTACTCGATATTGATCATAAAGTGTATATGCCTAACTAAGACGATTGTAAGCAGCTGAATTGTTTGAAGGATTCGTTGCTAATAGACGTTTGCTTTCGATAACAAAATAATCAGTTATATCACGTATTAATCGTACTAATAAATCTTTATCGAATACGAATGGTAATGCAAGATAATCAAGATATTTTCTCATCCAATCATCATTACGGCTAATATCATGACAAAAGACATAAATTGATTGATATGGTTCATTTGTAACTGGATCAATGAAAATATTTTTACCTTTTTTCATTATTAATAGTACAGCTGCTCTTCCTATTTGTCCTGATGTTATTAAAAAGATTCATTTGTCATGATTATTTTATAAAAATTCTACATAACGTTCAACATTTGTGAATGCTACTAATAAAAACTTGACACCGTCAAAATTGACTTGTTCAAAGCCAACTGTACGATTAATTGCATCATCATCTTTGTCAATTAATCTTATTGGATTAACACTTTTTGGCTCAGCTGTACTTGAAAAAGCAGTTTTTAATCGTTGATAAACTTCTCGTCTTTCTATATGTAAATTAAGGCAAACAATCATATGATTTGAAATTTTCTCATCTAATGCAAAAGCATCATTACACATTTTTATCTACAATGTTAATAGAGAAAATGTAGAACTGATATTCAAAAAAAAGAACAAAACAAATTAAGTATGTATTATAACAACATAACTTACTAGATGTTATCTTCATTTTCTTGTCTTATCTATACTGAAGTGATTATAAAGCGATTTTCAGACATATGTGTCAGGCAAAGTTGAGATTTAGACAAAATTAAATAGAGTTTTTAAAAGAATTCGAAACATATGAAAACAAAGAACTGATCTTATACATTGATATTAAGTCACATTCAACTTTCATTGAAATCTAGTTTAGTTTAGTAAGCTTTGACTAAAAAAAAAGAAAGCGAGGATCTTTAAACTTATGTTTCTATGAGCAGTATTTTTTATCGATGTTTATTTGTCCTCGAATTCAACTTCGCTCATAGATAATATTTACGAGAGGGTTTACGAGATTACCACCCAAACAAGTTGCCGAAAAACTTACTCAGAAATACAAATTTATACAACTTTTGGCCAATGTCTTCATATACTTCAGCGATCTAAAAGTTTTGACCCAAAGTATCGGTCTGTCAAAAAACTATAGTTTTTCAATCATTTTGTTTATGAACTTTTTCACCATAAAAATTCCACTAAAACCATTATCAGATTATACTAATCGATAGAGCAGAAGCTGCTCTACAAAATTCTTTATTTTTCTATATGTCACTACTTACTTTCTAAAACAAAAAAAATCATTATAATAGGTGAAGTCAACTAATTTTTGTTCTATTTTACATGCTGTATTTTACTATTCTTGCTTATGTTATGCAGTTAATTTTCAAGAGCCTAAGGTAAGTTTCACATAGTTTTGTGGAGCGTCAAAAAGTGCATCTTTTGATAAAAAAATATTGGCTCTAAAGTACTAAGCAAGATTCGGAAAAGTTCATGATAATGCTGGTTACTGTACAAGTTCGAAAAAGAATATTTGTCGCTATTCTATTAGAAGTCCATATCGTTCGATAGAGCTTAGTGTACTGATTACAAATATCACATTTTTTAAAAAAGTTAGTCTGATAATAAGAAAGATTTGAAGCACTTTCTGAAAGTCATAAAACTAGTTTTTGATCTGTAGATCCATGAAAATCCTATTCAGATTCGTTGAAAGTAAACTTATTTGGTGTAGAATATTTTTCTCTATTAGAACTGATAAGATCCTTTTAGACATTGAAATATTTTGCTATCGATAAATGTCGAATACCATCCCGATTGGATCATATTCTTACAAATAGTGATTTTTTTCAGTCTTATGAGTTTATAGATTTTTCAGGTGTTATCAGTAACTTTCGTTTTACGGACTATATAATTTAGTGTTCTCTTTCTAGTGAAACACAATAATTCCAAATCCAATAATTCCCATTTGAGTTCAAACAAGTATCATACTTGGAATCAGCAGAAAAGACTAACTCAACCTATGTGCATTTGAAATTATTTCTGCTACTCTTCTATCGGGTCAAATTTTTATCCGTGGTTCCCTTCAAGGATATATGAAACAATAAATCTAATCAAGCAACTAGTTTATTGGTTATTCATCAGTTTTTTTGGCTTCAAATAGTATTTCACCAGTTTGAGACTTTCTTTTCATTGTCCAAATAACTTTTTGAATAAATTTACTGTTTCACATGTCGGTGAGGGGGACATGGGCTAAAAATTTAAGAGAAAAAAAAGTCGCAGAAACACTTTCAAATGCACATAAGTTGAGTCAGTCTTCTGTGGTGACTTCAAGTATGATTTTTGTTTGAAGGAAATGTGGATTATTGTGTTCGAAAACCATCGAATATCAGTCAAAAGAGCAGAAATTTGGTCCTAGGAGTAGTATTAGAGCAAATGCTTTATTAGACATCGAATTTTAAGCTGAAAACAGTTTCATTAGAAAGAGAACACTAAATTATATAGTCGGTAAAACGAAAGTTGCTGGTACATCTGAAAAATCTATAAACTCATAAGACTGAAAAAAATCACTATTTGTAAGAATATGATCCAATTGGGGTGATATTTGACATTTATCGATAGCAAAAGATTTCAATGTCTAAAAGGATCTTATCAGTTCTAATAGAGAAAAATGTTCTGCATCGAATGAGTTTACTTTCAACGAATCTGAATAGGGCTTTCATGGATCTACAAGTCAAAAACTAGTTTTAGGGCTTCCAGAAAGTGCTTCAAATCTTTCTTATTATCAGACTAATTTTTAAAAAAAATGTGATATTTGTAATCAGCACACTAAGCTCTATAGAACTATATAAACTTCTAATAGAATAATTGGAGAAATAAATTATTAACAGAGAAAAATGTTCTGCTATGAGTTATGTTACACAAGAATATATTCGTTTCTTTCAATTACAATAATTAATTGGATTGAATTAAGACCATTAATTATTGTTTGTGATCCAATTTTATACGTAATTACATTTCTATAGATAACTGTTCTTATTTAATAGGCTCAATACTTTACGCTGATTTTTCTTCGTGCTCAACATTCCCGTGCTGAACAGTCCGTGTGCTGATTATTCCTTGTGCTGGAAATCCCCGTGCTGAAAATTCCGATTCCTCCCACACCCACACCCAATCCAGTCGATATTCGTCCAGAAAACTGCTCCAGCTGCGCCAGACAGCGCCGGAATAGAGCTCATCAACTTCCACTTTGGAACTCTCTGGCGCAGCTGATGCAGCTTCCTGGACGAATATCGGCTGATTTTACTAACCACATGGTAAG